TAAACATTCTTCAATTTACTCTCTTTTGTAAAAAAATTATTTTCTTAGCATATCCCCAGACTCACATTTACATCCTGCTAGGTCCTTGGCAGCAGTGGACAACTTTTCGATCAGTGGAAAAATGATGTTCAGATAAAATATAGACGTTTCCCAAACTGCAAAGAACACCACTTGTGGAAAATCGAAAGTCTTTTAGAAAAAATGAAATCATTAGTAGGCATTATGGCTTGTAAAAATAAAATTATGTTTCTGTATGGAAAAAAGAATTCTATTGTTTAGTTATGTGCATCGTTAACAACCAGAAAAATGAGAATATCTCTATAAATTATGCTTCAAAGGAATATAATTATGCTGGTATATATTGAAAACATTATGCTCTTTTCTGGTTGTACTCTCCTCCTTTCTTCTCTACAAAAAAAAGCTTACTGGACTTCTAATGTATTTTAAAAATTAATAGTTTGAAGATGTGCTTCTATTGCGACTAATATTTTATTCATGTGATAGAATGATTTATAGAAGTTACAAAGCAACCATAGTTACAATTTCATTCATATACATAAATCAAAATATTCATTACAAAAAGCTTCAAGATAGTTTCACAAAAAATAAAAAGTCTGTGTTTCATAACTTGTTCATGGACCTAAAAAGACAATTTGATGTGAAAAATAGATCACACATCCAAAAAACTGTTGCAAAAAGAAAGCACTATACTCTGTTTCAATCGTTAGATCGGTTCCTGCTTATTGCCCTACCGATTTCTGCTATTGAACCGCTATCATCTTTAATATCGTGTCTGAAATTGACAGATTTCAAATTAAAAGCATAGTTCGGTAGAGATTTCATAGTTACTCTTTCTGTTATCAATCCAGATGCATCCTAAAACTTGAAAGCTTTTGGAAAAATTTAGACTTTTCAATGTTCTTTTTCAAACCTGTGCTTGCATGATCTCGAATCTGACGGATACGTGAACATTTAATTTTAAACATTGAAAATTATTAGCGTAATGAGTTGTCTGCTTGATTTCTCTTTTTATACATGACACACATATAAAACAAGGTTTGTATAGTAACTGGTAGAACTTTGCACACGTTTCGTTTTTGTGTTATATTTTGTTTTTGTATACAACGTATTAAATGATAAAATTGCGAAAACTGGTGATGCATGACGAATTATTTGTGAGAAAACTTTTTTTGTTAATCAACAATAATAGTAAGTTCAAAAGCTATCAGCCGTTTTCAGCTGAAAAACTTACAAGAATGGTAAGAACTTATAAACAGAAATCCAATGGTCAGCTACGATTGAAATTAGAAAAATGCTGCCATCAGACTTTCACTTCCGTGCTTCTACCATTTTGTTCAGTTTTTTTTAGATGCTGAAATTATTGACCTGCGCATACAATCTTTTTACTATATCTAAAGTTACAATGGCAACTCAATGAAAGTGTAGAAAATTATGTTTGAATGTCATGATTTTTCTCGAGCAGTTATCTCATTAATACATTTGTTAAAGGGAATAAAACATCGAATACACATTTATTATCTTAAATAAATATAGTTTTAAACGAATAAAGAAAGAATCCAAATTGGCATAAATAAAAAACAAAAGGATTATAAGAGAAAATAAAATGACAAAGACTGACAAACATCAAAAACATACAATATAGAAATACTTTTGATATTAGTCACTATTAATAATGACAATTAAATTTTTTTTGTAAGACCATATTGTAACATTTGTTATTGTTGTTTTTTTTTGTTTTATGATAAACTAGAGGAAGTTAGCGGTGGTGTTGTCGCGAATGCCTTATTAACATATGAAAATGATGCAAACTCATTTTGATCAATATTCATAATAAGTTGTTTGTCACAAGGCGTAAATTTAAGAAGTTCAGTTGTGAATTCTTCCTCAAAATTTGATGTATCATGATAGTTTGCCTATAAAAAAAGAAAAGTAACATCTCAAAAATTAAGTTACTATCATCGAACTCTTCAATATTCACTATTCGTTCATCTGATAACAAGTACAACAGAGAAACGATTGGAATATGGTGAATGTATGAGGAAAAACTTGACATAACGTTCGATAATATTCAATAAATTCAGTTCGAAGATGAGTATAGTAGAGCTTCATAAAACTCAGCAAAATAAATCTCGAAATTTGTTATGAGATGATCGAATCAATAATTGATAACTTCTTGTATAACATTGAACTCAGAAAGCCTTTATAAATATAGTAGCAACGGATATGTTTTGGAATAGCTCAAGAACGCAAATAGATCGAAAGCTGCGGTTATCACCATTCAAGAGAGAAGACTTGAAGCCACCAAAGTATATCGAAATTTGATTGACCAGCAATTGATCAATCGGATGAGTTCTTGGTAGAGGTTTTCAAAAAATGATTTTCTGAAACTATTTTCTTTGACTTTAGACTTTTAATAGGACCAGTCGATAGAAAACATGCTTCTCTTTCGATCGATACAATGCTGAGATCCCTCACTAGTTTCACTCGAGAACTATGAGGGTGTGAGTGTGATATCTCCGATTCCAGCTGATTGCTCTTTGATCACCCAGAAAGGCAGCGAAGCAGGAGTAATATACTATGATGAGTCGAATAGTGATATTTGTTTTTTAGGTTCAAAATGATCTGAATATGTTATCTTAGTTTTCCTGAAAGTTCGCGATCAGCGTCCATGTAACGGAGGAGTCAACATTTTCGAAATATTGAGATAATAGTGTCAGACCATCTCAAGCCTTAAAACAAATATCAATATTTGACTCAGCATGATGAATTACTCCTATCTAATTGTTTTTCTGGATGATCACAGGAAAATTCATTGAAATCGAGAGTTTCAGGGAAAGTTTTATAACTCTCGAATAGAACAAACTAAAAATGTCAGTCTTGTGTAGTTCAAAAGGAAAATAGCTTCAAAATATCGTATTCGAAAATCTTCAATGAGAATGCACTTGATTTATCAATTACTAATCAATCAAACTGCAATATACATTGATGAATGTGGATCTTCTTTTTTGAATGATAGGAATCGCAGCTCTCTAGCTCTTTCTATTCTTAAGTTATTGACAAAATACCTACGGTCATTATATTTTTGAAGAGGTAGTTTTCAGTAGGGATATGACCACAAGACTGTAGATGATAGAAAAGTGACTTATGATCTCAGAGGAAATCTACACAAAATAGTGTCAATGGTAATAATTATTATATTTTTCTTTCTTTTTTTAGTATGGTGGCGCCCAGCCTAGGCCATCCTTGGTATTACGTCAGTAGTTTTCGGTACTATTAGATTTCAAGAGACATTCTAAAAATAAATCATAGCTTTAGTCTAACATCAATTCCATTAACCGATATGATTAATGAAAAGCAAACAAAAAAGGTATGATGCTGCCCAAACTCAATATCTCTATCACAAAATATGATACTAAAAACTCAAAAAGTAGCATGCAGTGAACATAATTGAGAGATGAAATGGACCCATATGTGTATTAGCCTAATATATTTATTTACTCAATCAAATAAAACTAAGTAAATAAACAAACTAGAAAAACACCATGCTATCGAAATGGAGAAGCATCTTTTAATCATTACACATTCTTAGACAATAAAATTTCTCAATAAATATTAATATTTATACGACAAAAACACTGTTAGCAAGTTTGTTTTCACATGAAAATATTATTATCAATTACAATTTGTGATGGTAGGAAAATTCAAATGATAACAGACATCTCATTTTGCAAGCTAAAAATTTCCTATTCAATATTAGAAACTGTCAAGTCATGTAAAGGTTTCGAGTTCAAAAGTTTGCATGAACAAAATTTTCGATAAGATAAGGTCATAAGATAAGTTTTAACTTTTCTAATATCTTCTATTCTAAGATATTCAATATTTAAAATTCCCTCAGATGTTCATTGAGAACTTTGTTCATGCAAAGCTTGAAGTCGAAAGTCAATTCTCTATGATCAACACATTCTAAACTTTTCCATTATTCTCTACTATACATCAAATAAATATTGTCTCAATCGAAAAACGATTCAATACCTGGAGAGTTGTCTCTCGTAAACTGTAGGTTTCATCCAAGTAAGATAACCAGTATTTTTTTCAAGAACTTCTTTCATGTGAAAAGATTTTTGGTCAAAAAAAAGTTGATTTTTCAAAAATGAATACTTAAGAAAAATGATCAATCTATAAATCAATATTTCAAATTTTAGTTTTGAATTACAAATATTATTTTACTATTCGAAAATAAAAAGTATAAAAAATTTTCTAAACTCATAATTCGAAAAGAGCAGCAATATTATTGTCTTTGCTCATAGTTTTTGACTTATCGAAAAAATACTTTTGAACGAACTAATAGTAAATAAATATCTTGTCTAAGAACTTTCTAATCATTTATTAAATCATTTTTTTTTTACTTTCAAACGATCTTTTTCTCTTATTTTCATTTATCCATCTCAGAAATTATTGAAAATAAATTGAATGTCACAGAATTTTTAAAAATACATATCATCATAAATAACCAATGTATAATAACATCAAGGCACAAATACAAACATAAGCAACATGAAAATCTATGAACGGAAAAAAAATATACTGACAGATCTTGACATAAACAAGAATTACCAAAGAAAAAAGAAAAAAAGAACTGAAACATACGAAATAAAAGCAATGACATGCAAATATAGAACTACTAAGAAACAAAAAAAAAAGAAAATGGAATAAGCATAAAATGTATTCTGATTGATAATTTGCTTATTTGTTTTTGACAATTGTCATTCATTTGTAAAAGGAAGAAGAAAACAAAAAAAAGAAAAACAAACAAACAAACCGGTTTCTTTGTGCAAAAAAACAATAACATATGACGAAAATTTGCGCATACACACGACTAGCAGACGAAAGATTTGAAAAAAATTTTTAATATGACAAAAAAAATGTGTTCATTGATTTAAATAAATTCTTTTCTTTTCTTTTTTTTTTTTTTTTTTTTCTTATTTTGTTTTTAGACCACTGATGAAATGTGGATTATAACATGAAAAACTTTGAAATGTATCATCACTAATTGAAGCAAGTACAAGTTTATCACATTCTGTCTTTTTAAATGGATTGTTTGTAAAACATTTATCAAAATTTTCCGCTTGACGAGGATTGTTCTAAAACAAGACAATACACAACACCAATTCTACTATTACTAAAGGTGAGAATACATAATGGTTTAAACTATTTAAATGAAACTAAATGTTCCTCTATCTATATATATATACATTGAAATATTTAATACATACTATTTTAGGTTTAAATGGTGGTTGAACTTCACGTGCTTCAATTTTTTGCCAATCAATACGACGAAAAAATGAATGTTCTTTTACTTCACGTTCACCATCTAATGGATGACAACCAAGACGTTTTTGAGGATTTTTTGTCATTAACTAAAATAGATATATGAAAAAGAAAACGATACATTAAGAATTAAGAATGTGTTTATTGGATTTATGATGAAGCAATTATCTCAGTTTTATCCAGGGTTTTTTTCTTTAACATCTTTTTTCCATTTGTCTCTTGCGTAGATAGATCATTCTTAATTGATTCTCAATTCGACATTAATTGTCAATTAAATTTATGTGTAATTCGAAAGCCTCAAGTGTGATTAACATAAGTTGACATTCATTATTGATACTATTTATCGATCAATAGAATGTTGTCGAAGAGAGAGAATAATAAGCTAAACGATATTCAATTGAGAACACGTTTAGTCAAAAAAAAAAGAAAGCGTTTTTTTTTTATAGATTATGGTGGTATTTAATTCTTGATTCTATAATTTAATTACAGATAAATCAACCTTTATGATACCAAAGTACGACTTTTCAATTAGAATAACCTTAATTAATAATAAATTAGAAATGAATATGAGACAAATTGCAGAGACTCTTTTAATTACTTATCACGGAAAAGATTTCGTACCCTTAGCTGATGTGACACTTGTACGATAGGTTTTAAATGAATGTTATGCTTCATCTAAGATAGAATTCGTTGAATCGAGCCGTACTTTGACATCCTCAATGAGATTTCAGATGATACGAGATATTTTTTGTTAGTTATTTGTATTCTATTTATCTATTTCTAACTCTCCATATAGATCCATTCTAAAAATTCATAATGCAATAGTATTTTTGTGTTCTATTCTTTTTGTCTATAATATAAGATAAATTTTATTGAAATTTTCAAAAGAAAAAATAATTCACATACTCCTTTACAAATATTCACAGCTTCGAATGACATTGATTTTGGATAAGATACATTACGATCTTTAATAGTTGTAAAAAGTTCTTCTTCATCTTCGCCATCAAATGGTGGTTGTCCAGCAAGCATTTCAAAAAGTAAAACGCCATATGCCCACCAATCAACACTTTTACCATACTTTTGATTTAAAATAATCTATAAATGATAATAGTAAAAAAAAAAGAACATCACTATGTATGAATTTTATAATAGAAAATTTTTCATAATTAACCTCAGGAGCAATATAATCTAAAAGAATAAAAGAAATAATAATATTTTAAAACAAAAGAAAAATAATGATTTACCTGGTGTTCCACAAAAAGTTGATGTTCTAACGTCGTTTATTATTCCTTCTTTACACATTCCAAAACTATAAGAAAATCATCAAAATAAATTCATATATTAAGGTTTTTGTTTTTTTCGTACTCAGCTATTTTGATATGTCCTTCTTTATCCAAAAGAACATTATCGAGTTTTAGATCTCTAAAAAACAAAAATAAAATGAATTTATATCTATTAATTAAACTTTAGTCATACCTGTAAATAATTCCTTTGTTGTGTAAATAAAAGAGGCCAACGGCAATTTCAGCAGAATAGAAACTAAAAAATAATTTCATTGATCATTTCTATTAGGAGAATGGTTAAAACTAAGAAAGTATCTTCACATCTCTTATTAATTTCTCAGTCTCGGCAAGACTACTAAGAGTCGACGTGAACTTCAAATATTTTCATCACATTGTTATAAATACCCAATATTATATGCAGTCGTTCATCTTTCCGATATACTGATAATATCTACCATATATGTCCAACTATTAGTTATGTGAGCATTGATCCACTACCTAAAGCTTGCTTGGAATCCTATTTCGATTCGTTGTTACATTATGCATCGATAACATTTAATCGAACAATCATGTCCTATCAAGTATGGATTAAGCACACCAATGAGGAGACATACCAAAGTGATAAATCGCTTTAGAACTGAAGCCTAATGGACGATAGGTAATCAATCACGTTGAATCCAAAGATCAGAATCCCTTGTGTTTCTAAGTTTTCATAGATCTGAGTGTCCGAAAAACTGGTTTACTGCAGCGAAAATCTTTCTCTAATTAAATACTTTTTTGATCTGTTTAGATTGTAGGGGCACATGAAATTATGAATAAAAACCCATTTTTTGACTATTTTAGAAGGGTCGTAGACTTTGTTAACACACGCGCAAAGTAAGTAACAATAACTTGTCACTTTAATATAATCTAACCTCAATGAGGCTTAATGTTTGCCTATAAATTTATTATGCCCATTTCAGATGACTGATATTTGAGGATGTACGTATGAGGGTGACTCTTCTATTCGGTAACATGTTAAAATCAGAGTAATTCAACGCACTCTACAATTTGAACAGATCAAAAAGTATTTTGACAGAAAAAAACTTTTCACTGCAATAAATCGTTGTTCTAGAGGTCTATTAGTATGAAAAATCCTAATATTCGAATTTAGTAAGGTCATTTGCCTGTTGTCTACTAGATTTTAGCTCTAAAGGGTGTTTGTCACTAGGATATGTTCTTTCGTGAGCACAGTACATCGATGAAATCAATCAAACATAAGCATATTGATTTTCTAATTTAGAGAAACTCAAAGTATATATATGTGAATACTGAATAATGATGCATGATTTCAAAATGAATCGAAAATAAAGAATAATAAGACCATGAAGAAAATACTAGGTCATATATAGTTCAAACTAACTGCTTGTCTATTTGTTTTTCTTAAAACTAAATCTTCATATGTCTATGATAAACTATTAACAACTTCGTAGATTATATTTATTTTATCAATTCGGATCGGCACAAACTTTCAAGTAGATAATAAAATGTAGTAGTCATAAAAATGATCATGTCATGTTTAATATTTCAATTAGTTTAGCGATTTTCTCTAATCACATTCGAAAGTATCTCTTCTGTTTACAATACTGAATATTTGTTTTTTAGTTTTTATATATAGAAAATAAGCAAATCTTCAACGTATTTTATGACAATATTTTAGAAACAAAAGATAGAACAAACTAATGAAATAAAGTTAATATTATACTATTGTTAACTCATTGAAAATAAAATAACAAACAGAAATATCATTTCAAGGTTTGTTTTTTTCTTCTTACGCTATTTTTCTTTTTTTTTTTTGTTATCACAAAATTCTATCTAATCTTATTATTCGACGGACATCTGTTAATCTGCCAATGCTTGTTTTTTTTTCTATTCTCTCAATTGAATTATTTCAACAAAATGTCAACCATTCGATAAATATAAGGAAAAACTATTATTAGAAGTAATCTTCTGATTATATTAATAAATGTTAAGATACACTAAGAAAAAAAAAAATAATAATTGAATATCTGTTGTTATACTTCTGTCTAATGTTATCGAGTCTGTTTATCTCATATATTCCAAATCCTATAAACTTCATAATAACAAAAAAATAAAAAATAAATCTATTAATAAGCAATGCAAATATTGCTTTTTATTTTATTGAAAAAATATAATTTTTTTTTACCAAGCAACTGGTTCTTTGAATTTTCCTTCATGTTGTATTCGATACATAAGATCACCACCATTAGCAAATTCCATAACAAAAAATAATCGATCCTAATGACACAAAAAAAAAAGAAAAATGAATTTTATTTTGTTTTCTTTCTATTCTTTAATATTTACATCTGTTTGAAAACAAGAATGAAGTTGAACAAGAAATCTTGGTTTATCTTGTAATAATAATACACGTTTTTCAATCATAACACATTCAACATCATCATCTTGTACAACAATATCTTTTTTTAATATTTTTATTGCATATAATTCTTCTGGTGATCCTTTACGTTCAGCTAATACAACCTTTATATATATAAAGAAAAATTCATCATTTATTAAACTAAAGAAATTTATTTTCTTTTCTTTTAACTTACTTTACCAAATGATCCTTTACCAAGTACTTTTATAAAATGAAAATCTGTTTCTTTAATGGATTCCGCATGAGATATTTGACGTACCAATGGTTTTTCGAAACCATCTATTCCTATATCACCTGTTTGTGTAGGTGGTGGAACACCCGATTTTTGTCTCTAAAAGAATGAAGCAAATGAATTTTTTTTTTGAATTTAGAAACAAAGAAATAATTGAACATACTCCAATAGAGTGTTTCATTTTACTTATATCTTCACTAGATACGGGTACAGCATAAAAATCTCCTTCTTCTTGACTTAATAATTTAAACCAACCTTGAACTGATTCTTTCATTAATTCCGAAACACCTTTTCAAGATAAAAAACATAAAATATAATAGCGAACATAAGTTTAGAGCAGTTATATTTTTCGGTTTTCTTCTTGACAGTAATAGCTAGCAAGAATTTTAAAAAAAATATTCATGTGATTGAAAGAATTCTCTATTAGAATTGGTAGACTCCAAAAAATTTCTTAGATAAGAGCCTGTAGAAAATCAAGATTCTCAAGATCACCTTTTCGACTTCCATTTGAAACTTTTGGGAATCGATTCTATTTGATAGAGTCAAATCTCTGATTTCTCTATAATGTGCATTTAATTAGCTGAAGATCCAAAAACTATTTTTTATAGTGCTCTGATTGAAATTTCGATGTTTGACGTATGAGAGCCTTCTGCAGATCGAATGCAGTTCAATGAAGGAAGTTCATAGAGAGGTCGGAAACATCTCATTTTGCTTTATCAAATAAAATCTGTTCCAAAAAAAAATCGAATGGAAGCCACAGAACTGATTTGAAAAATTTTAGTTTTCTACAGATCCTCATCCAAGCAGTTTTATTGGAGTCTATCAATTCTAATAGAAAATCCTTTTAGCTATACCCATATGTTATCAGAGTTATCTTGGCTAATAGCATCGAGAAAAAAACCTTTTTAAACTACAATTGCTCTAAACTTTCGTTCACTATGAACGAAAAAAAGAAAAATTTTACCAAAAGAAAGTGAACCCATAAAATCATTTCTCGATGTTCGATCCCAATCCCAAACAGCAATTAATAATCGTTTATCTTTATCATCATCATTTAAATCACTATTTCAAAAATTATTCGTTTTTAATATTTATATATGTAAACTTACATTGTAAATTTTTCAAGCCATTGTGGATTTAATGTAGCACGTACTGTTTTTGTTTTATATTTACTTTGTAACTGTTTTCTTGTTATATCCGGTGTTGTAGGAATTAATTTTATTTTAACATATGGATCACTTAAACCGTTTGGATCCATTGGAATTAAATTTCTAGCTTCAGTTATTTCAATAACTAATTTATTCTCATGTTCATATTTGACACTTAAACGTATTCGACCACGACGTTCTGTATGATCAAGCCCACATAAATCTGGTACAAATTTTCGACATTTTTCATGAACATTCATATCACAGCATTGACATTTAAGACCTTGATGTATGAGACCATATAAAAGAGATCCACAATGATCACAGAATGTTGGTGAAGTATACGTATGTGTTTGAAATTTATGATTATTTTTTGGAGCCTAATTTATAAAGAAAGAAGAAAAAAAAACAATTATTTATTGGAAAATAAAATTAAAATTCTTACATCTGAATCAGCTCCTTTATCAACACCAGGACAAGTAAAACAAATAAATTCATGACAACGCTTATGAACCACAAGAGAACAAACTAAAAGAAACAAAAGATAAGATCAATTTTAACAAATTTTATTGCGACTAAAACGGTCCTATTATTATTTTTATCATTATCAAAACAATACAATATTTAGAATAACAAGGAAGAAAAAAAAAGAATACTCCTGCCTTGCAGTATGAGGTGCCGCCTAGTGGCAAATTCAATACCTCAATATCTTCCCTATAACTCATACTGGATAGCTGTAGCTCTGTATAGAAGATCGGCCTGACATAGAGCTCTTGCGTTTTATTGTTTGAAGTCTTCATATATAATAAGCATATGTATGTCACCACATAATCAACATGTTATCTCATGGATAATAATAGACAAATGGCTCTTAGTTACTTGTCCAAAATCATTGCATGTCAGAAGTTACAACAATGGCTCGAAAAGTTTTATTTTCCAGCAAATTTCAGTCGTTATGAAAGGATTAAATTCTTAGTTAAATCCTCGAGCTATTCAACTCATCACCATTATATTAATTGATACTATAGAATACAGTATGCTTCAAAAGTCAGCAAGGAAATAAAACTGCAATAACACTTCAATGATTCTCATGAGCTTTTTATAGGGTATTCTTAGAAGTTTTCTGTCCTTTGATTCCATCCATAACAATTTTTTACCACTCATCGACACTAATATAAAAGCATGAAAGTTTATATTTCGAAATATTTACGAAAAACTAGCGCATAAGAGTTGTTATGGGGTCACTATAGTCATATCATCGATTCTTATTTATATGTCAACAGGATATTGTGCACTAAAATTTATATAAAGTTCCTTGTTGATGATTGAATACAAGTCGACAATGTGATCACAGTGTCCTCATAACAACTCTTATGCGTCGATTTTCTGTAAATATTTCGAAATATATACTTTCATGCTTTTATTTTGATGTCAATGTATTGAAACAACAGTAATTATGGATGAAATCATATGAAATAATGAATAGCTTATATGAATCAGTGAAAAGTTATTATAATTTTATTTTATAGTTGACTTTTGAAAATATCTGAATATCAATTATAGAAAAACAGAAAGTCTGTCAAAAATACAAGATCAACGTATTTCTTATTTTAAGTAAAGTTTTAAACATTTAATTAAAATCTAAATAGTGGTTTGAACAGCCAATAAACATTAGTTTTCAAATCCTAGAAGATTGAGTACGAGTATCATCTTATAGGGCATAATGTTCTGAATATAATGATGATTTGTCACATTTCCTGCGGTCTTTCCTGAAAAATTTGTTAGCATGACAAAGTGAAACTTATCATAGCATGGCTAAAAGACTCATGTTTAAAAACTTTTTATAATTTTGTAAGGAAAGATGGTAGGGAAGGCGGTAGGAAATGTGATACCTCCTCATTGCATTCAAGATTTTATGCTCCGTAAGGTGATACTCTTACACAGTCATCTAGCCTTGAAACTTTTCTCTCATAGTTCATTTATGAAACTTCCGTATGGAATGCTTTTAATAGAAAAATTCATTGACTATGCATGTCACTAATTGGATTTGAGTTGAATGCTTAGTATTGTAGAAGAAAAAGACCAAAAACTCGTTGATTTTTATATTTTTGATCGATATTATAATCTTCGTGACATTCATCTTCTCTATGTTTTTGTAGTTCAACAGTTAAAATATTTTTGTAATCCATATTGATCTCTTATGAAAAATAGACATCCGAATCATCAAGTCTAAAAAGATTAGTCAAGCACACTAATGTATGTTACGATCCTATCATACTCCACAAAATAAAAAGACTTCTTCATTTGTCATAACCTATTATTTAATAAATAATTACTAACTAATATATGTTATACGTTGTCTAAATAGTAGTTTTAATGTCCTATATAATTATAACTAAATAGTTATGTATTAAGACCTGAAATGTAGATAATACATAGTGATATTTAACGATAACAAATTAATGCTCTATCAAATGAGACACAACATAAAGTTAAAACTGCAAAAAAAAACAAAGAAATAACTAAATTTTTATACAAATGATGTTCTTAACCAATAAATAAAGTCATTTTAAATAATAAATGTTGTACTTTTTTTATTTTTCTTATATTCATAATTTTAATGAGATCAATTATCTATTATGAATATTGTCAATCGTTTTCATATCTATTTCTTGTATGCAATATATGTCAGGAAATATTTAGTTTTATTTGAATAGCTTTTTTTCTTCATTTATAGAAATATTCTTTTTCTGACTTAAGTCAATAAAGTATTCATATCTATTCATAAAGTAATATGCAATGAATTTCCTTTCAAAAAAAAAGAATAGTTCATAAGGTTTAGAACATATTATACTCTTTGGCTTATTCGTTAAATATGACTTACTTTGACATTGAAAACCTTGTTTTCCAAAGCCCCTAAAAGAACAATCAAAAATGAATTGCATAAGAAAATAAAAAATAAAATAATTACCAAATAAAATCTCGACAATGAGAACAAAATGTTGGTGTTTTAAAAAATCTTGGAATAAATTGATGATCTTTAACTGTATAAACATTTTTTTGTCGTAAAGCACCACGTCGTGCAATAGCTTGTGGTTTTTCAACAAATATTCCTGGTGGACTTGATGGTCTTCTTATTGAAGAACTACGAACTGTATCAGTTAGCATAGTTTTTGTTGATGCCATATTTTCTTCTGTTAATGAAGGTGTTTCACTAGTTGAATTGACTTCACGAAAGAGACTTATTGCTTGGACGAAAGCAGCACAAGTTGGTGCTGTATAAATAAAAATAAAGAAGAAAAGCAAGATATTAGTATTGAGAAATTGCTATGCAAGAAAAAGAAAACCGAGCAATAGTAATAATAGCGAATCAAGAATATAACTGTTATCCGTCTTTTTTTTTCTTTCCTAACGCTTTTTTTTTTTTTGACTGTAGATATTCTGTTATTGATGTTTGATATGACATCATCAAAGACCTTACAATAACGGTGAAGGTTTTTCTCTATTTCTAGCTTGTCATAGACATACATATACATCAATCTTGTCTTAATGAATCAATATGTTGTATAACAAGAAACATAATTGATTTGGTTTTTTTGATTTGTAAAGTGATAATAATTTCTATGCTCGAGGGCATAGCAACTATAATTCTTATTTTTATTTCAATTTATTAATATTAATGAGACTAACAAAAGCGGATATGGATAATAGGCAAACTATTTTTCTCTTGAACATGCTGTGATTTATAATACATGAATACGAGAAAAAAAAAAAGGGATGTGCTTTATTTTATTTTTTTTTGACTAAATTGTACTTATTATATAGTAAAAATCTTGAATATCATGAAGTCAAAAGTCATAACTAATCTAATTCATAAATCTAAGCAAAAGAAAAACATTTTATGACGTTATTGATTTTCTTCTTAGTTTTTTTTGTAATATCAAAGTACAAGTAAAAATCATGATCTTGTCATAATTTGTAATACCAAGTTTTAATTAAAAAAAAAAAGAAAAATCAACCATATATTCAACACGCATTGATCATATTCATATTTGTGTTGACAAAAGTCTAAAGAAAACTTTCTTCATAGTTCATCTATCATTGTCTTTTATGCATTGTGACTAGTGCAAAAACACAAACAAAGAAACACTTCAAAGACAAATTTTCACAATATACACAATAGATAAAATATATGATATTTGTAGATCTCATACAAATAGTATTCTAAATAGTGAATTCGAATACGAGAATGAGACGTATATTGTTCAGGATCATGTCCTTCTTTCTTATTCTTTAAGTGGAAGATTCAATTGCATATTGAATCATCAATGTTGAAAAAGAACTTTATTAATATCTCGACATGACAGTAAGTATGAAGTGTATTATTCTAACAAATAGTCTCTTATATTATGATCATAGAATATTTTCTTATGATTAAACATCAAGAACAATAATACCTGTACGTGCCATGCCTTCAACAATTGAACGTCTTTGTTGTTGGTGAACTGGTTTTTGTTGCTCTTGTTTATGTCTATCGGGATCCATTGTTGCAAAAAAAAGAGTGGACAAAAAAACTAATTGATCATACGCATTAAATATAACTAGTTGCCCATCAATCTATATTTTCGGCTTAAGTTTTTTTTTTTCTTCGTTGTCGTTTGCTCGTCCCTCGTGCGTTTCAATTATGACATCAATAAATAATGCGACGAGTCGTCGACACACATATACAACATGCATAGGAGCTAAATATAAAATAACAGCAAAAGCAACAAACTTTTTTTCTTTGCCGTTTGCCGTTCGATGAAAAATAGAGATAAATAAACTGAATGCGACAAAAGGCAACGACGATAGTGATGAGAATGATAGTCAGTTAGAGGCGCCGATCGATAATCGTCGTCAGATGTTTCATCTTCTACAATTTCATCTCTCGACAAACAGACAATATTGAACGCAAAAAAATGTTACGAGAGAACAACGACGCAAATCGTTTTTTTTTCGATGAATGACGCGTCATGATTGATAGTACATATTTTTAACGATGTCCACATAATAAAATTTTTGTTCGGTTCTTTTTCTTTCTGACCTCGCTCAGTTTTTTTCAGCAATCAAATGTCATTATCGAACACGTGTATTATATAGAGCAAAATATGACAAACATTTCCTTTCTTTTGACCAATACCCACTTAATAACAAAAGAAAAAGATCGATTATCATTCACCAAATATAAACAATTATATCCAATTTTCTATTTATATACATTCATATTTAACAAAAAAAAGACAAATTACTATACAAAATTAGGCAAAACCAAAGAACAACTGTATACCTCTAGGGTATTTTTCCACATGCAACAACTATTCTCCTTCGTTCCAATGTTCATATCAATGTTTACTTGGTATTTTCATTAGGAAGATTTTCTACTGAAAAGGAAAATATTATTAATCCATTGATACATCATCTGTGGTTGACAGCTGGAAAAGCTCAATCGTTATGTATATATCTATATCTATATCGATATAGATATATATTCATCCTTTGACAATATTATTAATTGACTTTCACATCCGTTGAAGCTTCTCGAAGGATTTCAACAGTAATAATTAAAGGCGGAGAACTGACTTCAAGATTGGAATGCATCTAATAATTATTTTGATTAGAAAGACAAAAGGAAATACGTTAGCGGTATTTCAGTACAAACGAGATGTAAATAACTGGAGCATAATAAAATCTCAATCGTATACAACGATTGTTTTCTAATACTGTTGATGTTATAAATATCTTTTAGTGTCTAATTAACAAGGACGAGAAACAGTAAGATATGCCTATAATATAACAAACATATGGTGCATTGCAATTCGATTACGCGAAAAAAAGATGAATTTGTCCACATTATACTTACTCAAAGGTTACTGTTTTATGTCAGAACTATCTGTCAATCTAACTCGATTATATACAAAATAGAAAAGCATTAAAAAAAAATATTCGTCTTTTTTCTTTTTTATGAATATGTGCATGTGGTTATAGCTTCTTTGAAGGATTTAATTCTTATTCTGTCTATTGAAGTAATGTCACAATATTTTTGTTTTAGTATATATCATCTTTTTTTGCCCATATTGCTTCAAAGAATGTCACATAATGGTAAGACATGCGTATGACACTTATCTATTGAACAATAAGGTTCATTAGAACTTATGATTACATTACATTTCGATAGATATGTCACTGTTGTATTAGACTGATCAAATCTGGTAGTATTATTATGACAATGGAAGATAAAAAGAAAAAAAGAGAACAATCAAAACACCATAACATGCGCTGCACGCATTCATCGATTTGTTCTGTTCTTCTGGCATTTATCTAATCCGGTTACTACGGAACTGTTTCTCTCTAGGGATGACGACCAGAAACAGAGCGAGAGAGAGAGAGAGACAGAAAAAAGAAGAAAAGCTGCTTATTACTATTACTCTTGTTGCTGTTACTACTCTTATCTTTCCAATAGGCCGAGAACCGTTAGCCATTCTTGTTCGTCGCTTACAAAACTTAACATGCATGATAGTAGCAACATCAACAACATATATATGCATTTTTTGTAGACAACAAAAAACATATAGTGATATTTTAACAAAGAAGAATACTTTTGTGGACAGATGAATAAGTTTTCTACTTGAATAGATAAAGTCTTGTGATAGTCTATATATATTGTATTTATATTAAACTGAACAATAATTATCATTACTTAGTTCAATTAGATCTAGATTATTGAATAATCTTGTTTTTGTTTACAACAAATAATAGCAATTTGCTTAATAACTTATGACTTACTTGAATATAATTGATTAATAAATAAAAGCAATCATAACAAATTATAAATAAATTTTATATTAATAATGATCAGAAATCTGAAAGAGATACAACAAAAAAATTTCTTTTGAAAATTCAAGAAAAACAATCATTAGAAGAAAAATATTAGTAAATGGAAGAAAATGATAAAAGCTTTAACGAGAAGCATTAAAACGCTTCTGTGATTTTTGGGCTCATCGTCTTAGTCTTTGTCGACAGTTTTATCCTATCAACTAAATTCATTATATAGATTGAATGAATGAATGAATGAATGAATGAATGAATGAATATGACAGAAAAAAAGAAAATGAAAACAACATCCTACACTGTTACATTCTATTAAGTTATTACTCCCCTTTCTTTTTTTCTAACTTTGTTCAAGATGAATATTAGTACAACAAGTAATATTCCTAATAAATATATTAGAAGAAAAAAAGAAAATTCTATCAATCCATAAAAATATAGGCGACTAAACCTGCAATTCGTTCATATTAAATTGAATAACATATATATAACTTTATGGAAACATTAAGTATTCACTAATTCTAGAAGAATTTTATTGCTTTTTCTATTCTCTATCAATTCAAGAACATAACGAGCTGACTTATTATTAAAATATAACGACAGAAAAAACGTCATCAACCATCAGTCTTCTTATAACAAAAGTAAAGATCACGCGATCATTGATCAACAACATGCTTTGTATCACTTTCTCATTTTCATTCAGTCGTTCTCCATCTATTGTTAGTTCTATTAAGAATCAATATGTATTGTTATAATCTCATTTGGTCTGTCTATTCAATATCATCTAATTTTTTTTTTTCTTTTTCTTTTTTTCTATTAACAAAAGAAATTAATCGTAAAGAAATTCTTATTAAAAATATATTCTTCCATAACTTACCGACGCTATGCCTTATTTCGTAAAAAATATTATTTGCATTTTTTTTCTATAATATGCACTATCATAGTTGACGGCTCCTACATACAGTAACGGTAATGGAAAGCAAGAAAGTCTGACACTTGCTTGCTTTTTTTCTCTTTATACTATGTTTGTCGATAGTGCTCTCTCTCTCTCTCTCTCTCGCTCCTGCCAAACATACTCAGTATGTCAATATAGGCAAAAAGAGAAACCGGTAAAGTAAAGTAGTGACGATGACAAGAGGCAGGATGCTAACATATTATACATTGTGATATACTTCTTTATTGCATATATTTTTCTCTCAAGGCAAAATATAAATCATAATTGTTTTATAAAATAAAAAAAGAAAGCAAACAATACATTATTTTGTTATATTATCTGTTCATTCATACATTTTTTTTATGTAAATGGATTAACGAGAAGTTTTCAAGTTAGCAATAGATTGACGTTGTTATCCATATGTACACAACTAATGGTTAATGTCATCTTGTTCCTACGGACATGCTTGCTAAGTAGATCAAATTAGTTGCAACAATAATGCTTCGTCGGCTACCGAGAAAAATAATTGACAATGTGTCCGTCAAAGAAGTTTCATATCTAACTAATTTGACCAATAGCTCTTTGTCTATACATCTACTTGAATTGTTATATTCTTTCAATGATAGATCACATCAAGTATTGTATTGTACAATTAATGCAAATATGATCGATTTATATATGTAAGAAATAATAGAGGAAAATATCTCGATTTTATAGACAATATACAAATTGATTTTTAAAAATTTGCATTAACAACCAAGTGATGTTTTTCACTAATTTTTATGAGGATATTACCTTCTTGTGAATACTTATTGTATTGAAAAATATCATTGGAAAGAAAGAAATAAAGTAATAAGAATATAACGTCTTACTAAATTTTTAATATTTTTTATGTATTTTTCTCAAGTATTATCTTTTTATTATGAAAAGTATATTAATCAATAGTTCTTTTTTTTGTATGACATTGAAGACGCATTATCGATTATTGCTTTTTCGATACTTAGTAAAGTTCATTTATTTTAATTTATTGATATTATGAATAGAGTCCTCCTGGAAATCATTATTCCACGTTGAACAATATTAGATGATCTGATGGCTTTGCTTCGATATTACTATATGAATATAGAAACAATTCTTCAAAAAAGAAAAAAAGAAAAGAAGAGATTGATAATGTATCTAAAGCAAGAAAGACCACTTTCAAAATTTTACTTCTTTGTCTAATTGCGGCTACAATTATTATTAAGAAAAAACATGAAGTATAAAATTGTTTCATAGAACTTAAAAACACATTAAAAAAATTGCTATTCTTATGTCAGTCATGATTTTTTTTTGTATGCGGACAATCGTAGGTCAACGTCTAATGTCAAATTAAATGTAGCGATTCTTCGGATCCGATATTGGATGCATTCAAAGTCCATTTTTCTTACTATCATTCATGTAAAAATAGTTATTAATGAGTTCGGAACGAATGATAATAGTTTTTTCATATTATATAGCAGACTGATGAATGAAAGTAAGATGAACATAGAATTTTCCTTCCGCGATAAAAACGATTCTAATTTAACTATGATATATGAATCGATTATTACAAGAGACAATTTCATTTCTATATCTTAGTTAATCAATAAGAATCCTTATTTTCCGTTAAATCCGACGAAGCTTAACTTCTTTGTCAATTACATTGTGATCTAATTTGTCAGAGTATGATATAATATATATAAATACTAATTAAAATAAAAGCATTTTT